GTGTGTGTGTGTGTGTGTGTGTGTGTGTGTGTGTGTGTGTGTGTGGTGGGGGGGGATTAATGAAGCCCAGATGCAGGACTCCTGATTCTGGCAGTAAGTTTTGTAGCAGGGCAGCAGCAGCTTGGAAGAACCATTTACCTCCCACTGTGTCTGGGCCCAGCTGCTCCTGGATCCCAGCTCCCAGGAACAACTGGAAAGCAGGTCCCAGCTACAGGCGGGCCAGGGTGGAGGGTATGATGAAGAGGAAGCTGGGCTTTAGGCAGAACCTAGAGTAGGGACCATGGAAGATCGGGATAGGCTCTTCGTATTGACCATCCTGTGACTCAGCTCCAATGGAAGATGCCTGTCCTCAATGCTACAGTTCTCAGGGTCCCCAAGGAAAATCTGGGACCCCCCCCATGCCTTTGCAGAAGGAGGGCAAGACTAAAAGCTAGGCAGAGTTCTGGAGGGAATGGTTAGTTTCCCCCTCGGTTGCCAGATGAAATACAAACACAACGCAGAATAGCATTCTTTTAAGACAGAGAGAAGAGCAGAAAGGTTTTTTATCTGAAGTTTGTGTTTAGCAGGGCATCCTATATTTTAATTTGCTAAACTTGACATGCACAAATCCCTTCCAGCTGGATCTCTTTTTAGTATGATAGCTTTATTGACCAAAGTGTACAGATGGACAGACAGACAGGCCGTTGAGCATGTGACTTGGTAGAGTTCTCACAAGTCATACACATGTGAAACTAGCACCCAGATTGGGGGAGAAAATCCACCCGGAGCCTGCCCGGATCCACCCCTCCCTGCTTTGGGATGGGATGTAAATGCATCATCATCTCCTTTTGTAGTCCTCATCTCCCCTGCAGCAGAGTGATGGGGACATGTGGGGGCAGCGTGTAGAAACTATCCAGTCTGCTTGGTGGAGTGCCTCTGCTATGAGCACCTCTCTGTGTGAACACAGGAGCTGGACTGCAAAATCCATGGGGTAGGTGTATATATGTATCCTCAGTAAATCTTTTTAGTTTTCTAAAGAGACAGTGTGCCTTCCTGTCAGCTATGGAATTTCCCATGGTCCTCTGCCCTACTCAGAGTGACCATTCCCACCATAGCCCTTCAGATGTGTGCTGACCCTGCCTGCCAATCTTCTCTTAAATCTAGAGCCTCCCGCTTTGTTGATTCTTCTGATTTTTCTAACTGTTACTTAAAACAAAATCAACACAGCTCGCAGAGCTCGGGCCCTAGTCTGATTCTGAGCTCCCCAGCCTCCAAGAAGCATGGAGGAGGTCCGCCTCAGCACTCCCTCACAAGGGCAAGTGTGGCCCTGGGATATCTGCTACCAAGCCATCAGTACCTGCCACATCTGGTCCCAGTGGTGTCTTTGCAGGGACCTGTTGGAGGTCCCTGTAGTAGTGTCGTTCCCTGCAAACATTTCTCCTCTAAGAGTTCAGTCTCAGACGTACCTTTTCTAGCAGGCTTTAACGTAGGCCTTACTCTCCTTCCTCTGTTCATCTTACTCCCTGGCATGGCTCAAAACAGTAGTTTCTGAAACCCAGTGGGCTTCCATTCTGAGTGGGCTACTTAGCACTGTGTGGTGGCCACACAGAAGTCACTCCTGAAGAGAATAAGAATGAAATTCTGTGGCATGGCACCCACCTGTGTAAGGCCCAGGTGCCATCCTTGTCAGGATAGATAATTCCATTCACAGGGCTGACTGCCTGCTGACCAGTGTCTGGAGATACTGGAAGGACACAGTGCCATCTATCTCCTCAGCAAAGCTAGGTGATGAATTATAGAATACTGGCTTGAGAGTTTGTCCTGTTACCTAAGCTCAGGGATCCCAGGACAACTCTCAGTCCCATCCTTTGGTCTCTTCTTCCTTCATCTCTTCTTTACTCCCCCAAGTGCTTAAGGACCCAAGGAACCAATCTGAAGCCCCACTGAGACCTTCCTTCCCGAGGAGAAGATGGCTCAGTCCTGAGTAAGCACTGACTAGGCATTGCTGTATAGCTAGCTGGCTCAGATGTCCAGCTCAGCTGAATGAAGCAGGAAGCCTGTTCACAGGCAGCTCAGGGAGCAAATGGTCTAGGAGCTGGGGCTGGTGGCTTACATACAACTGACTCTGGGCATTCCTGGGCCTCTGTCTCTCTCATTCTCTTTTCTGCCCCTCCTAAAGTCTGTCCTGCTGGGAGACAGGAGGACAAACAGCACTATAAGGTGACCACCTTGTCACATTAGCTGCCCCACAGGGAAGTTATACTCTCTTAACTATCCAATGAAGACCCAAAAGCTACTTCAGAGGTTGAGTCACTCTGAGGCCCAGGATGTAGGAGGGGAATCCCAAGGAAAGTTCTCCGAATAGTGGGTGAACACACACACACACACACACACACACACACACACACACACACACAAAAAAAAAAAAAAAAAAAACCTGGTCTCAGGAGGCCAGTCACCCACCCTGCTTGAAGTCCTTTGAAATCTGAGAGTCAGTGCACATGGCAGGACCAAGAGAAGAGCAGAGGGAATGTGTTTTTCCTCCTGTCCCCTTTCCCCTCTATTTGCATGTTTTCTTCCTTACTGTTAGCCCCTTCATCTCTACAATTTTCTTCTCAGATTATTGCTTTGTTTATGGTTCAGTCTCCAGGCTCTCCTGCATGCTATGCTCTACCACTGAGCCTCACCCAGTTCTGTCTCTTCATCTGTGAGTATTTATTACTCAGAGGTAGGAATGTTGGTCCATTTCCGAGTAGACGTTCCATCCATCCAGACCCACAGATACATACAGATCTGAGGGGGTTAGAGCTCCAAAGAAAAATGTATTATGCTTTCTTGGGTAACCTGCTTTTCACCATGCTTTCCAGAACATTCAGAAGCTCTCAGGCCTGCAGCCTACCCGACTCAGAGTCTCTTGTTCTTCTCTCTCAGGCAGCTAAGAAGTCAGCTGAGTCTCATGGTTATTGCCCGGATGCTGGGTCAGGAAGAGTCACTTCCTCTCTCAGGAGAGAAGACCCAGGTGAGTCTGCCTCAGCAGGACCAGGCTTTGGTAGGCCACAGACCCTCTCCCCATAACCTGCCTTTACCTGAGGTATAATCAGAGAGACCATCCCCAGACCTAAGCTGGATTTGAATGTCTTACTCAGAGTCATTTGTTCAACAGTTACCGGAACCAGGGGCATGGTACAGTGGTAGAGCATCTGCCCAGCGTGTGTGTATGGCCCTGGGTGTTATCTGCATGGCAGATGAAACCTGTGTTTCCAGCTACTGGGGAGGCCAGGCCAGGAAGATTATTTGAGCCTAGTTGTTAAGGGACCAGCCTGGGCAAGGTGGGTGTGATGGCTCACACCTTTAATCCCAACACTTTAATTCTAGCACTCTAAAAATTATTATTGTTTGCACAACTATGTCCTAGGCACTGGGGACTGATTGGATGTGTGAGTTGAGAAGTTGTATTACAGTTTGTGAATTACGGGAAAACAGGCATTACAAGATGTCATTTCAGGTTTTTTTTTTCTAGTGTTTTGTTTTGTTTTGTGACAGTCTCCCTGCTCCTCCTGCCTCAGCCTCCAGAGCTGGCGTTACAGACTCGGCTTCAGCCGTACTGCTGTCGTTAGTATTTTTTTGTTTTGTTTTTGTTTTTTTGAGACAGGGTTTCTCTGTGTAGCCCTGGCTGTCCTGAACTCACTCTATAGACCAGGCTGGCCTTGAACTCAGAAATCCACCTGCCTCTGCCTCCCAAGTGCTGGGATTAAAGGCGTGCGCCACCACCGCCCGGCGTCGTTAGTATTTTTATTTGAGAATTTCATACATGCCCACAACATATTCATTCACCTTCCTGCTGTTTCCCCTAAGGCCTCCTCGGTCCCTCCTTCACTCCATTCCCTCCTAACTTCATGCATAGGCTGTATACATGCTGATGTGGGACTGTCCACTGGGGACACTGACAGGGCTGGAGAGATTAGCTGGGCAGTTAAGACATTTGCTGCTCATACAGAGTACAGAGGAACGGAGCTCAGTTCCCAGCGTCCAGGACCTTCCCATCCTTCACTCCCCAAACCCCAGCCATGACTTTATAGACAGAACACTAAAGACACAAAGAAATCCTATTATAGCTGCTCCTACCAGAGTCCCCATCCCGGGGCTACATGTCCCTGGGACAGCAGGGCTGAGTCCCAGCTTCGCCCTGCTCCTCTCTGAGGAGCTACTGCCTGTTAGCTCAGAGGCCATGGCCTCCATGAGGCTGCAAGGATAAGCTAGGCAGTTGAAAGAGATTCCTCTTGTCTCCCTAGGGATCTGCCTAGGATCCTTGCAGCTTCAGGGTCAACACTGAGCAGCCAGGAACACAGGAAAAGGCCCGCTCAGCACATCCTCAGGCCAGGTAGCTCAAGAACTATAGACAAGTTTTTGTGAGGAAGCTAAGAGAGGTGTTGTTGGTTAGGTTGGAAGGAGAGGGCTGGGCCTGGTTCTCGATTCAGCCCCCTCCCCTCTGCTCCCAGCCTTGAACATTTCACCCTAGCATGGCAGAAACTTGTCGTCTCTACTCTGGCTAGCATGTCATCTCAGGGAGGCCTGCTGGCCATGTCTGCTACCCTTCTTTACTTGTATCTGTATTGTGCTGCCCACACTCCTGTTCCCAGGTAGAATCTCTGAGGCCCCTGAGAGTCGGAAATCAGTGATGTCTGCTTGCTCTCCATTGCCCCTCAGCCCAGAGCCTGGCCCACACCAGGAAGGCAGTTGTAATGCTTGTGGGATAAAGAAAGAGCCAAGAAAGAGAGTGCCAGAGTACCCAAGGAGAGGACGCTCCAAAAAGCCATCATTGGGAGAGCACGGCCCCACTGAGCTCAGTTCTGTCATTCTGAAGGAGGGAGGGCAGAAGGCTAGGAAGTTAGGAGCAGGCACAACTGAGACACAGCTGCCATGACAGCCTGACAGGAAGGAAGAGGAAGGAAGTCAGGACTCGAAGGAGGGTAGGTCCCTGGGGCCTTGTACCCAGAAGCTGTGTTAGCAGTGACTCAAAGGTGGGCCCATTTCAAGGCTTGGTAGGTTCTCTTAGCCTGAGACTGTTGAGAAAGCATGGGAGGAGCCTAGGGGGCTGCCTGGGCCTGGAGGGGAGCCACAGGAGGGAGGCAAGGTGTGAGTGCTGTTTGCTTAGTCAGGAGTTAGCTCAGGAGGTCTCTGCAACAAGCAAGAGTCCCAGTATCACTAGGCCTTGGAGGCAAGTGGAGCAGGGCTTCGCTTCCTGTCGGTCCTTTCTTACACCTGCCTGCTTGTGACTGCTGTGGGCCAATTGTATACCTGTCTGCTCCTTACACACTGACTAGGAAACTAGCCCAGGCTCAGCCTCAGACGCCAGGTGTGACAAAACCAGACAGCTCCAGAAGAAGGTGAACCAGCTAGCTGTGACCTGGTGACTAACACTGCCTGAGGCTAGGCTTGTGGAGGAGGGCTTAGAGGATGAGTCCCTGCTTGCTGGGCGTTCTGCCTGGAGGAGCAGGAGCCGGAACCTCACCTTGGTGGCTCTAGAGGAAAGCCCAGCAGGTGTGTTCAGATCTCACCATCAGCTCATCCTGGTGTCTGGTCACCAGGCATTCACGTTCACAGTCTGACCTATTACACCCATTCCTCACGCTTGCCTTCAAAGGACCACCTTGTCCCCACAGCCAGCCGTGACGCCTCACACACCAGTCCCTGGCTGCTGGGTCTTCTCTCCTGGGCCGACCTCACCCTACATATGCACACAGCTGTGGTTGTGCACTGACCTCTTCCCATCTGTAATACTTGTGTCCACACAGTGGCTCTCACTGTGTTCTGAGTACTGTTCTTAGTGCTTGCCTTCCTCAGAACCTGGGGCTAGAAGAGCTCATACTCCATCCATGTTTTATAAATGGGGAAACTGAGTCAGGGACGCTCCCCAGGGCCATGAGGTAGGGCAGGGGTGGAGCGAGGATTAGAACTGCACCGTTGACCACTGCAGCATGCTGCTTCAACCTCTCCAGCCCAATCCCTGGTGTGTGGCAGCCTAGACCATTGTGAAGGGCCTTCTGGAGTTGACTCTTGTAGAAGCAGAGGCTTGGGGCTTGAAGGGGGAAGGGCTTTCAGTACCCAAGCTGCTTGCCCTCTCTCTGCTCCTGCCTTAAACCACAACCTGAGCTCCAGGAGCAGGACAGAGCTAGAGAGCTGGGCTTGAGGGACAGTAGGTAGGTAGACGGCAACCACCCAGCACTTTCATCTTCCAGGAGAGTCCCAGGTTGGACCAGTAATTCCTATTGTTCCATTGAAAACTGGGAATAATTCAGAAACAGTCGCTGTTTGGCCTCAGGCCCCAATGTGCTCTAGAGTCTGGTCTGGGCAGGAACGAGCTGAATGAAATGAGATTCCTCTTGTGTGATAGTTATAGTTCAAGCAGGCCAACCGAGGCACCAAGAAAAAGTAACATTTAGGGTGAACTTGCAGAAAATGCCAAGAGCTGTGGAGAAAAAGCCAGAAAAGGGAGAAGCAGTGTTGGGTAGGTGCAGTCTTATGAGGGTGAAGAGACGGAAGGGACATTTGTGCACAGAGCTGTAGGAAGCAAGGCTTCCTTTGGGTGGGTGAGTGGGGGTCACTTCCAGCAGAGGAAACAGCATTACAAAGGCTTCAGGGCTCAGGAAGGGAGGGTTGGTTAGGTTGGAGGGAAAGCAGACAGAGGCTGGTGTGGCAAGAGCAGAGAATGAGGTAGATTACAGAGGCAGGGTCACAGAGGTGAGTGAGGGCCACAGCCGCAAAGAGAGACAGAAACTGACCTGCAGCAGCTTTACAGTTGGCTGGCTGCTGTGTTGAGACCACACTGTGGGGAGGAGCGAGGAGGGCAAGCCTATCATCCTGCAGGGCTGCTGGTCTAGAGGGACAGTAGCAAAGTCGTGGCTAGATGCCAGGTCACTTCCCAAGGACAGTCAGCAGGGCTAGGGGGAGGTAGGTGGGAGTCCTCCAGGACTAGAATGAGGGGAGGAGCCAGGCTTTCCTCAGCCAGGCAGGCGGGCGCGATGCAGGTGGAACAGGTTTGGGAGGAAACTAGCAGTTTGTTTCTTATACCAGCCTCTTGCAACACAAAGGCAAGGCAAAGCATTTTTTAAAGTGTGTGTTTGTTTATTGTGTGTGTGCACACACTTCAGTGTCCATGTGGAGGGGAGAGAACAGCTTGCAGGAATCCATGCTTCCGTGGTGCTGGATGCAGGGCTCGAACTCAAGTTACTCAGGCTTGGCCGCAAGCACCTTTACCCTCTGAGCAGTCCTAGCAACCCGCTGTTTGGAGACTTGCTATGAAGCCATTTGCTCTTGAGTTTGAGATCCCCCTGCATCTGCTTCACAAGTCCTAGGCTTACAACAAGTATGTGCCACCATGTCCAGCACAAGCCACTTTGGTCAAATGTATTTTTTTTTTTTTTTAATTCTGAGATATGGTTTCTCTATGTAATCCTAGCTGTCCTGGAACTTGCTATGTAGACCAGACTGGCCTCAAACCCAGAGATCTGCCTGCCCTCCTTCTGTCTCCCAAGTGCTGAAATTAGAGGCACATGCCACCACGTCCAGCCCCAAATCATGTCTTGAAATTTGGAAAGTGCCGGGCGGTGGTGGTGCACGCCTTTGATCCCAGCACTTGGGAGGTAGAGACAGACTGATTTCTGAGTTCGAGAGTTCGAGGCTAGCCTGGTCTACAGAGTGAGTTCCAGGACAGCCAGGGCTACACAGAGAAACCCTGTCTCGAAAAAAATAAAAAAATAAAAGTAAAAAATAAATAAATAAATAAATAAATTTGGAAAGCAAGGTCTTTGAATGGGATACAAAAGTTTGAATCTCCTAGGAAACGGTTAACTAATGCCTTAACCTGCTATTTAGCCATTCACTTGTCTAATGAATACTTAATAAGCTTCAGCCATGTGCCAGGCGTGGTGCTTGGCCCTGTGGACACTGCAGGAAAAGGCGATGCTGACAGTCCTGACCTCATAACCAGGGAGGGGCTGACAGACACTAAGCACGTGAATTCTGTGCCTGGTGGAGTAGATGGTGCTATAGAGAAAAAACTACAGGGCAGGGGACAGCAAGGATGTAAGCGCTGGTAGTGTAGGCTGTGGGTTAGATGTGACCGTGGACTAGGAACAACAAGGGGGCAGTTCTGCACTGTCTCCATTCGGAAGCCAGATAAGAGCCCAGGCTCTGGAGAGCAACAGCAGGTCACTTTGAACCTCCTGGTGTCCCACAGCCGCCTCTCCTGTGCAAACTGGAGCCACTGCCAGGATTTGAGAGCACGAGCCACATGCTGTTGTAGACAATTGGTTTGCCAGGATCCTTTCTGCCTCTTCCTGCCAGGAGACTGGCAAGGCCAGTGGAGGCCTGTCCTTCTGGGTGATCTTCACTTCTTGCCCTGAGGTGTCTGCCCTAATGGACTGAGTGTTTGCTGAGTTGGCACTCTGCAGTGGAGGTGGGGCAATGTTGGTCTGGTCCTGACCCTCCTTCTACAGGCCCTTTAGAGACCAGAAAAGCTCTAATCCTGGAGAGAGAGTGGTATGTGGGGGTGGGGCAACTCGGGAAACAAAAGCGAATCTGAGACCAGATTGCAAGAGTGCACCGAAGCACCACCAAGCTGCTTTCCTGGAACGAGAGGAAAAACACAATCGTGAGCAAGTGCTCGGTCTGTGCTCTCCCTGCCAGCCCTGCCCCCACTGCCTAGAGCAGGGAGGGTCCTGGCTCTGCTGAATCGGGCCTTCAGTCACTCTGGGGGTGTGGATTTGGAAGCAGGGCGGGGCAGCCTTGTGCTTGCACAGCTGTGAGCCTCCAGCATGCTAAAGGCCAGGGCTGTTTTGAAAATTATCCCCAGACTTAGAAGGCAGGCGCAAGGCAATGCTGTTTCAGATGGAAGCGATCTCTGCCTAGACCTTCCCCTCTTTTTTTGCTGCCTTCTTTCCGCTTTGCAGAGAAGGCCTGGCCTCCTTCCAGGAGCCAAAGCCAGCCTGACTCCTAGCCCCTCTTCTGCCTTCTCCCTGCCCAGCTGCTCTCCAGGGCTTCCAAGGTTGAGGGCAGCTGAAGTGCAGAGCAGGTGCTGGTGGGTGAGTCACAGGAGGAAGCCAGGTGTTGTGTGCCACCCGGCTGGGCTCAAACCGGGAGCTGGGCTGGGGGCTCAGCGCTCTCTTGTAGGTACACTGCACCTGCTAGATCTAAGAAGATTGTCCTCTTGCTACCCTGTCACTCGATGCTCCTTCATCCGCATCCTCCGCCCCATCCCTGGGTTGCACATGGATGCCTTAGAGGAGCAAGGACTGGGGCTGGCCTGCCTCTCTACCGAGCCATGTCCCAGCATCCGGGCAGTTCTTGCTGGGCCCCTGTCTAAACTGCCCAAACCCATCTTTGGGGTGTCTAGAGCGAGGGGCTAGCTACAGGTTCACTAGGGGGGGTTGGGCTGTGTCTTTAAAGCTAAGCAGGAAGTGGGGTGCCTGGTAGACTAAAACATGACCAAATCCCCCTGTAGACCTTACGGGGAGTCTCCATCTAAACAGACCAACTGAGAGGATATTTCTGAGACTGAGAAGATAGATATTGGATGAGAGTGAATTATTGGTTATTTTGTTAGACAAGAAAATAGTACAGTGTTTTAGGAAAAGAAAAAGAGATCTGGGCCAGGCACACATCCGGGTACTCAGGAGGCAGAGGTGGGAAGATTGCTGGAAGTTTGAGGCCAGCCTAGTGTACATAGGAAGTACCAGGCCAGCCAGGAACCATGGCAGGCAGGTCCCTATCTAAAAATAAAATTAAAATGTGCTAGTGAAATGGCTGTCACTATAGAGGCACTTGTCACCAAGCTTGATGAACTGAGTTCAATCTCCAGAATACATAATAATAATAATACATTAAAAGAGATAGTAAGCCTGGGTGTGAGTTTCCTAATCCCAGCAGGGAGGCAGACCTGGGTGGGGCACAAGGATTAGGCTAGCTCGGATTACAGGGGAGACCTTATTTCTAACACACAGTGCTGTTGGTATTGGAGGACACTATTATATTGTGGGGACCCTCCTGTTATAAGTTCCTTACAGCTTAGAAGACGCAATGCTAGGAATTCCCTGGAGAGAAAAGAGCAGTACAGATGAAGAGGACTTAGGAACAGGTAGGCAGAGAAGTTGTGCTTATGGCTCACAGGATGGACAGATGTAGCTGAAGACACAGGGTCCTCTTCCTGTGGATTGAACATGTCACAGCCACAAGCTAAGGGACAGGAGAGGGATGCAGGGGAAAGTGGACTATTGGCTCAGTGGCAGAGGGAATCTCTTTTTTAGTCTTGGTTTTCCAAGGATTTAAGGTAAACCCTTAAGCTTCAGGGGAGCTTCCTAATTCATCACAGGGCTCACCGTGTGTGTGTGTGTGTGTGTGAGAGAGAGAGAGAGAGAGAGAGAGAGAGAGAGAGAGAGAGAGAGAGAGAGAAAGAGAGAGAAAGTGCCCATAAACCATATACATGTCACTCCTCTTAGGAAGAAGAGGGTGTGAACTGTTTTAGGGACAAAATACCCAGAGTCTAAGAGGTCACAGCTCATAAGTGAGAGGTGGATTCCAACCTGGAAGTTGGGGCTCTGAGCCTTGGCCACGAGTTGAGGGTGTCCTCTGAGAACACTTGTGCACACACTCAGTCACAATCTCCTTTCTCCTCCCCAGCTAGCCTTGCTCAGCCAGCTCCTCAGCCTCATGAGGCCGTCATCCCTCAGGCAGTGTCTGGGCGCTGAAACTTTGCCATCCAGTCTGGGGCAACAGTCAAAGGCCAGTACTGAACTAGACCACAAGGTGAGCACCTCAGGCCCTGCCTGCCTTCACTAACACCCTGCTCCCCAAGTTAGCAGGGAGGGTGGGGTTGTTTCCGTTGCACAGCCTGCGGGCCCTGTGGCTGCTAGTCCTTCCAGAACCACGAGCCACTGGAGGCCAGAGGCCAGCGGGCTCTGTCTGTGTGAGGAGGAGGCGCTCAGTACTCCTCCAAACCCTTTAATTAGCACCCGTGCCCACCCGTGCCCACCCGTGCGTGTAGGCACAGGTGAGGCTGTGGGTACAGGCACACCAAGAGAGCTTTGTCCAACCTCTCTTGACAAGACTTAGACCTTGACCTTTCCGCAGTTCTTCCACAGAAGTTCTTCCAAGCACTGACCAGCTTTCCTGAAAGCCAAATTTCTGTGCAGGTCAAGGGCACTGAGTCTCCCTGGTTTGGGAGGTTAGGTCAGTAACAGCAGAGGCCTGTGGGCTCTTGGGGTTTCAGAGCAGGGACCACGGTGGGCGTGGGGGCTTCCACATGGGTCTCCATGGAATCTTCTGTCCCTAGAGACTCAGGCTGAAGAGTGGAGGTAGGGGTTATTACATTCAGGAAGGCAGGGATTCAAAAATGTCACTCCTGAGCTTGAGTGTTAACAGTCCGGGAGTCCAGCCTTTGGGCATCACTCTGAGAATCAGATAAGTGAGTTAATTACCTAATGAACACAAATGAGCCATTACAAAGATGGGATAATCCCCAGGTGCACGCTCCCCTTCTAGAACGTGCAGGGTGCGTTATCTTTGCCTGGGATTTGAATCAGTGCTTTTACAAGGCAGCAGTCTCCCCGGAAGGTAGGTATCATCTGACTATCTCTCTTCCTTTGACAGATGTTTTCTAGTCAGCTTAGGGGCCTCTAGAAAGGATCTGGGGTCAGCCCCTGGGTAGGTAGTCAGCCATAGCTGGATACTAGAGAAGAGGAGTAGAGGGAGAAGGAAGACAAGGCCACTGTCTGGGCTGCCTGAGCAGAGACGGTCTGGCTTCTAGGAAGGAGCCTTGGGAGTCAGGCTACAGCCTCACCCAGCAGGGGAATGGCTCCTCCAGGCCCCAGGATTGCACAGGCTCACCACAGTTCTGACCTGCTGGTAGCAATGGCAGAAGGTGTGTATATGGTAGTCACTGGATGGGAGAGTAAGCAGGCCACAGCATCCTGTGTGCAAGGCTTCCTGCGCAGCTGCCTCTCCCTCCTGGGTTACCTGTTAGAATCATCAGTTTTGCCTTAAAGCTGGGGAAGAGGAGGGTAGCACGTCCAGGGTGCACAGTGCCCCCAGAACAGAGAGTATACTGGTTGGGGACAACAGTAAGGGAAGGTGGGGCAAGGGCAGCTCTCGGAATGCGTTCTGCAGCTGAGACAGCTACAGAGCCTGTGGGCTTCCCTTCACCGTGTCCTCTGGAGTGAAGCAACTAAGGGCAGAGGCAAGCGGGGAGGGGGGGGTGAGGGAGGGCAGGGACAGCAGGTACGTACGTGGTGGGCATGGGGTCTGGTGAACTGCCAGGGTAGAGAGAAGTGTGACATGGTTGCAGGCCTGTGCCTGGGCTGAGTGCAGTGGTGTCTGGGAGGGGCCAGGCAGGTGACTAGGCCCCACCCCACCTCAGCAGACTGACTCCTCGTTAGGCCTGAGCATGTTTCATCTTCAAAGATGTGATGGGGCTACTCAGCAGCCAAAATGAGCAGCGGCGTCATCCGCCCTATTTTACAGGGAGTGGTGGTCTGGGATGGGGCAGCCTTTCATCCCCAGAGCTCAAAGTCTTTGCTGTTTGCATCTCGAGTGCAATGGGGAAACTGAGGCCAGAGTTCAGGTCAACTGGAGGTGATCATGCGTGAAAGAGAAGGAGATGGCCTCTTCTCAGCCTCTGGGGCTGCCATGCTGAGCTTGCTTCTGCCTATCCCACGCTAAACTCACTCCTGTCTGGGAGATTTCCTGCCCTAAACTGTAGGGGTCATAGCCCTACACCAACCCTGCAAATAAACACTTCTGCAGGCTCTCCTTGTCTCCCCACCTCCTCTCTGCCTCAGGCTGGCTAACCCTCCTCCTCCCTCCAGGGAAGATCTGTGGGCACCACAAGGCTCCCCTGTTGCCGTCTGTCCCACTGTTGTCCCTTTGCATGGCTGACTGGCTGACTGGATTGTGGGCAGCTGTGTGTCTTAGCATTGCCACTAAATGAAAAACTCAACAAATGAATGTGTTTGACCCCTCTCCCGCTCTGCTCTGTTCTGCTCTGCTCCGGCCATATCTCCTGCCCTCTCTCTGCCTTCCACAGTAGCAGCCCCCTGGTCTCTTAATGTCCTTGTATCATTAAGACCACAGACGTTTATGGAACCCTGGACTTCAGAAGTATTACCTTGGGTAATGAGGGAGCCAATCACAGGGCATTGTTGGTAATTATAAGTTAGTGAGGTTGCTGCCTGGGAAAGCTAACCACCAAGTACTTGAACAAAAGAAGCAACTGCTCAGGCTTCCACTGTGGGGGCAGGGAGGGAGGAGTGAGCTGGACTGGAGGCAGGAGCAGGCTGGGTTCCCAAGCAGACTTTCTGTCCTAGCAAGGTCAAAGTCACTTAACATGCTACTAGCACAGACAAAAATACGCTTGAAAAGTAAGGCTGTCTGTGGAGGGCCTGAGCCTAACTCAGTAGTAGCGTACTTACGTAGCTTACGTGAGGTCACATGTTCAAGTCTCTGCACTACCAAAAAATGGAGGAGCTTTAGATGATAGAGGACTCTCAGCATTTTAAAGTGTGCCTAGAACCTGTAGTCCAGGCTATTCAAGAAATTGGGGTGGGGGTGGGGGTTCATTCTTCAATCCCATGAGTTCAATTTCAGCCTGCACAACATAACATAACAAGACACCACCTCAAAATATTTATATAGAGTGCTGAGCTTCTCAATGGCTGTCTATGCCCTGGGCTCGCCTGGTGTGAGCTGGGTTTACCCAGGGTAAGATAAAGATCTAGGTGAGAAGATGCTTGGGGCCTGGCACCTAACAAGAGGCAGGCCTCCTGTCAGCACCAGGTGGGAGATGACAGTGTTTACACAGAAGAGAGTGTAACAACAGGAGGGCTGGCTTCCCAGTGCTTCCTTTTGGCCCAGGGACATGATTCTGCCAGAGACAGCTCCTTCCCAGGCTCTGTGAGACTGGCCTTCTGGCTGCAGGCAGACAAACATTGCATAACTTGACTCAATTTTCTCCTCCAGTCTACCAGCCTAGCCATCCAATCCAGCACCAGGGTTCACTAGGGTCTTTGCTTTCCACTATGGAAAGCGTCATCTGTATATGGCCAGATGTGGCCTAGTTCTAGGAGTTCAGTCTCAGAGTTGAGTTGGGAACTATTGACTTTTACAGAGATGGCTGATGTTTTGGTCTTGTTAAATCTGTCCTTGTGTTTCTTGTTCCTGTTTAACCACAGCTTCCAACTAATTTTTGCTTTTTCTCCCATGTCTGTTGCTTTATGTATATACGTTTACATTATATGTATAAGTGTATAGACACATGTGCATGTGTGTGTGTGTGTGTGTGTGTGTGTATATATATATATATATATATATATATATATATATATATATATGTCTATACACATGTAGATATACATACTTGTACTTTCTCTCTGACACTGCTGAGTGTCATGATGCCTGGTCACGTGCCAAGCATATGCTTGCTACTGAGCTACCTCACAGCTGGGTGCTGTATTAATGGCACCCAGTGTGAGACAGAAGGTCTAGGGAACCAGAATCTTGACTGTAGGATGGGAGTGTCTCTCTAGTTGGTTAAATCTGAAGAAGTTAAACTCTTCCACTGTGGAATGAAAACTAAGGATAAGGAGGCCAACTTGGCACTGGGAGCTTGCCTTACCCACCCCCACCCTCATCCCCCTCCCTCCCCCCCACCACCCCAAATGTGCCTCCTCTCAGCGTGTTAGTGGATGCCTTCCAAGGATGGCAGCTTGAGGCTCACTGAGGACTGTCCATGCATGGGTCAGCCTCCTGCATGTGCATTCATTCCTTAAGGCTCACTCTCTGGCTGTCGCATGTGCTGCAGAAGCCTGGGGAAGCTTGCTGATGGAGGAGCAGTGTTTGCAGAGAAATGATTTTATAGGGGAGGATGTACTCTTGAGTGTGGGTGATGCTGGGGACTGGCTCCAGCCAGCTGCAACTCTACAGAGGTGTGTGTGTCTGCCCAGCCTGTGTGCAGGGCGTGGGCCTGCCATGTGTTTGTGTGCAAGTGCCCTGTGTGTATCTCCTGAAAACCTTTGTGGTGTGCCAGGTGTGTTGAGAGACTTGGTGAACAAGTTTTGCTACTTTTTCTGCTGCAACTGTAGACTGCAGCAGTCTGTCCCTGTGCTGGCTGACCCTGCCAAGAACTGCCTTAATGGGAGGTTGTGGTGGGGAGAGGCCAGATCTCACTGCAGGGACAGGACAGGGTTAGCTGCCCTCTGGCATCTCTGTGCTAGCCTCTGGCCTCTCTTGCTGGTACTTCCAACCCCAACAAAGGGACCGGTATTCCCTTGGGCTTGTCTTGAACCTGTGTCATCTTCAAAGACAAGTGGATCCTGGAGCCTGTCCCCACTTTGTCACCTGAAAAGGCAATACTCCACCCCCAAACCCAGTGCTGTAAATGTGGGTCAGGCCAGGGTTCAGAGAGCTGGGAGGAAACTGGATTTGAGGAACAGAAAATAGACATGAAGACTCCTTGGTTCTTCCCTGGCTGGCTTGTGGTTTTGTCCCATCTTCCTTCCTCCAAAATGAAGAGCATCAGCTGTATTTTGTCAGAAACCTGGGCCTCCGAGAGGCTGACCCTCGGAGAGTTGAATTACATACAAGTCTAGGAACCTGTAGACCAGGCCCAGGCCCAGGCCCAGGCCAGCTTTGCTTGGTTCCCAGAAATCATGGTTCTTTGCAAGAAAGTGAGCCAGGCTTGCAGGGACAGGGTGAAGCCCAGGAGGCAGGGTGGGGTCCAGGGAGCCTAGCCAGCTGGAGGTTTGGCCTGCTCT